GTCCTACTGCCAGGACGTGAGCAGGTAAGCCCCGGCTGACCCTGAGCCCCTGCCGCCTGTCCGCGCCCTCACTGCCAGGGGCCAAAGACGCGCGTGTGGCGCCAAGTGCCAGCCTGTCTAACGCCGGTCAGAGCAGCTGGCCGGAAGGCTGGTCACGGGAGCATGGGCCAGGGCTCTGCCTTGAACGGGTGTCCCGACTAGCCCTCCGGCTTCGGTGCTGGACCCCAGTGGGGACCCCAGAGCACCACCATCCCTCCCCGCTGTCTCCCTAGCCGGGAGAGCTGGAAGTGCCATCCGTGTGCATTTCTACTCTGTGGGCGCAGGGGTGGGACCCGGGGAGCCCACATGCGTCTCTCCCGCAGTGCATGGCCCTCGGGTTGCAGCTTAGGCCCAGCAGCCTGGCACTACTTGGTGCCTCAGGGTATTCAGGGCTCAGTGCTCAGGGCTGCACACTGCAACCCTCACCCCCGGCCCTGGGTGTGTGATGCGCCAGAGGCGGGACTGTCACGGCAAGCAGGTGGGACTCAGGTGCCCGCTGAAGGGTCTCTTCGCAGGTGTCGCCGCGCACTGATCGCGCAGCACTTCGACGAGGTGTGGGACTCCGAGGAATGCGACAGGATGTGCGACAACTGCTGTAAGGACACTGGTGAGTTCCCTGTGGCACGCACTTTAGGACGGGACCCCCGAAGGGACTCGCAAGCGTAAGCAGGGGCCATTTAAGCCATCGCACAACCTGGAGGGTGCTTGTCCTGCATGCGGCATCCCCTCTGGTGCCCTGAGTCCGCCGGGAGTGACCCGAGTGCAGTGTCAGCCCTGACACCGTCGGGCATGACCCCCAAACAACAAAGATTAAGCAAGGCGTGACTCAGATTCAGCAGTCAAAGGGACCAGGGTGGTGGCAATGGGGACGGACAGCTGGAGCTGGTGGCCAAGTGGGTAATGAGGAAAACAGTGCTGGCTCCCGTGGGGTGCGGCTTCTCACACGGTCCCTATATAGCCAGGCCTCGGTTTCCCCACGGACCAGAGACTGGGGAACAGCCTTATGTGAGGGGGAGTGGGCCACGAAGTGCCCCTCGCTGCTGTTCCTATCACTGCCAGCGCGGGGGAAGGGATGGGCAGAGGGAGGAACTGCAGAGGCTGGGATGGAGGGCTTGAGGTGAAGAGCACGGTGCTGTTTCTGTTGTCTTTGGATTGTTGGTGTGTTTCTTCACATCTGAGAACCTGTTGGCCACTTTGAGCAGGGACTTAGCACAGAGGAGAGGCACGTTCACGAAGGCTGGCTGCCCCCATACGGCGGGCATGGGGAACGTAAGACAGGAAACAGTCGGGTCCTCTGACTAGAAATACGGTATTCGTTGCTGTGTGGGGGCCATATTCAGCAGTGATCAGGGCTTATTCCTGGATCTGTGGCTCCTGAATCATTCCAGGTGGGGGCTAGGGGACCATATGGGGTGCAGGGGATCGAACCTGGGTCAAGCACCTGCAGGGCACAGACCCTACCCCCAGTTGCACCGCTCTGGCCCACTCACTTCTGCTTTCTGCCACTCATTCGCTGGGGAGTGAGATTTGATGCCAAGTGAGTGGTGAATCTCGAGTGACCTGGTACGAGCCAGCCTATTTCCGCCTCTTGAGATCCAGGGATGCTGTAGTTTTCGCTTTTCAGCCAGGGAAACTCGTTCAGTGCTTATCAGTGCTCTTACACTGATGTGATTCTAGAACTCGGAGCGGGACTCCCGGAAATAAAGTGTGTGTGTGTGTGTGGGGGTGTCCATGTGGGACAGTCTCTCCCAGTACCCAGGAGGCCAGAGGAGTTTCTGCAGTGGTGCCCAGCAAGCACGTTAGATTCTGCGAGGGGCAGCCTGGCTCGCCCAGGGCCAGTCTTGGGGCAGGTGCAGCTGGGCACCCAGCTGCAGAGCTGAGCTGAGCACCTGCTGCTGGCGACTTACTTGGTCACGCTGCCACCCTCAGAGCACCAGGGTGTTCCCGTCTGTCATCGTCCAGGGACCCTTGGGGACTCCCTCCGTTTTATTCTGGAGCTCGCTGAGCAGCGGGCATGTAGGTGCAAGTAGGGACCTGGGTTCTGGCCAACGTGAGCGGCCAGATGAGCCCCTCCCCCTCCCCTCTCTGGTTGCAGCCTTTGAAAAGAAGGACATCACCGAGTACTGCAGAGACCTCATCAAGATCCTGCAGCAGGCCGAGGGGCTGAACGAGCGGCTCACGCCCCTCAAGCTGCTGGACGCCTGGTCGGGGAAGGGGCCGCCCAAGCTCCGGGTGGCGGGAGTGGCCCCTCCCACACTCCCGCGGGAAGACATGGAGAAAGTGGTCGTCCACGGCCTTCTCCAGCAGTACCTCAGGTATGGGCCAGCCCCCCCGCCCCCCCCTGCCCGTCCCCGGACCCCCCAGCCGTCAGAAATGGAATCCTCGGGGGCTGGAGCTATAGTACAGCGGGTAGAGTGTTTGCCTTACACGCAGCTGACCCAGGTTCGATTCCCAGCATCCCATATGGTCCCCTGAGCACCCCCTGAGTGAGTAATTCCTGAGTGCAGAGCCAGGAGGAACCCCTGAGCATCACTGGGTGTGACCCACAAAGCAAAAAAAAAAAAAAAAAAAGTGGAATCAACTCCAGCTTGGCCACTGTGTACTAACACACGGCAGAAAACTACTTTCTCTGGCAATAGAAGTCTGCGAGAGAGGTTTCTTAGAACGCTAAAAGTAACCACGAAGTGAATTTTTAAAATGAATCTCCACTTTTCTCTATAATCCCTCAACACTTTCTGTTGGTCTTTCTTTCCTTCAGGGAAGATTATAGTTTCACGGCATACGCTACCATTTCATATTTGAAAACCGGACCAAAAGCTCATCTGCTCAAGAACGCGGCCCATGCAGTCACCATGCAAGTAAAGAAGCCGACGCAGAACTGTCTCCGGGTAAATGACCGCCTTCTAATTTCTGCATATTCAAAAAAATGTTACCGGGGATGTGGTCGAGAGGTCCAGCACTTGCCTTACAAGAAGCCCGAGGGTCTGGAGTGATGGCACAGTGGAGAGTGTTTGCTTTGCATGCAGCCAGCCTGGGTTTGATCCCTGGCATCCCATATGGTCCCTTGAGCATCGCAAGGAGTCATTCCTGAGAGCCAGGAGTAACCCTTGTGAATCGCCAGGTGTGACCCAAAAAGCCCAAAACAAAAACAAAGTAACTCGGAAGCCCGGGTTTGATCTCTGGCACTGCAAAACCCAAACAGTGATATTTGAAGCCTTGGAATGCTTGTCTGTCTCTCATTGCCTCCCTAGACCCAGCTGAAACTGTGTCTGTTTCCTTCGATTCTAGGGAACGGGAAAAAGAGTATACCTTTGTTTTCTGCAGGCGGAACTTAGGATGGACCTTTATTTCTGATTTTGGGGGTGCTGCACCCCGATGCTTGGGGGGTCCCATGTGGTGCTGGAACCTGAATCTGGAACCCCCCAAACAAAGCCTCACTCCAGCCTTCAGAGTCCGAACCCCTTTTCCTCTAGGGTTTCCCACCCTGCGGAGTATCAGATTCTGTGGCACACGCTGCCCTGCAGGTGGGGAACTGTCCTGGGGGGCAGCAGGGGGACCGCTCAGACGCCAGGCCATCCCTCCCACGGGCACTGCCATGTAGGGGTCTCTAACACTGCGCTCTGCTGTTGTTCTGTAGACGGAACCGTCTCAAGCGTGTCATCCCGAAGGAGCTGACAGAAAGAAAGAAGGACACTCAGGAAACTCCCAGAAAAGAGCTGCAGACCCAGCTCCGTCCCCTAAGCAAACAGGAGCCAAGAAAAGGAAAACTGTCGCTGTGTGAGACTCATGACAGGCAAAGGCACAGAACCGTCACCACTGAAATTTATAGACAATTTCATTTTTTATTGACAAGGGACTACATTTACGGAACTTAATTCTGAAGCTGATGACAAAACTGAGGCCTTTCGAAGAACCTGAGATCATGAACTGTATAAAGTGCAGGCAGCCGGAAACAAGGGGGGGAAACTAAGACTTTTCCGGGGAGAGCCACACCTGGCAGTGCTCAAGGCTTTCTCCTGGCTCTGTGCTCAGAAATCACTCCTGGCAGGCCCAGGGGACCACGTGGGATGCGGGGAATCAGACACTGGCCGAGTGCAAGACAAGTGCCCTACCTGCTGTAATACCGCTCTGGTACAGAAAAGTGAAATCTTTGTGTAAAATTCTTTTAATGTAAAATGCTCACTTGAAAAGTTATCTCAATTTTCTTAAACTTTTTAGGCCTTGAAAGACCTAATTGTATTTTTTCCTTCTCTTTTGTCTGGCTTCTGGGCCATACCTGGCTGTGCTTGGGGCTTAGCCCTGGCCCTGAAATCCAGGAAGGAGGGCAGCCACATGTATGGTAAGCACCCTGCCTGCTGCGTTCGCTCCAGCCCCATTTCCCACTTCTGTATACGGAATATTATGTTTAGGCTCAATTGTAGTAATTTCAGGTTAATACAAACAGTTGTGGAAGCCAATGGAAAGAATAAGGTATCAATACAAATTGAAATCGAAACTGTTTTATCTTTAAGAATACGTCAGTTTCTTGAAGTCACAACCCCTTTGAGCACCTCACAATCAAAGAATAGTGAGGTGCTTTACTCACCAGGTACAATCCTCACACAGGTCATCAATTTGGTATTAAAAATAGAAGCGAGGGGCTGGAGCGATAGTACAGTGGGGAGGGCGTTTGCCTTGCACACGGCCAACCTGGGTTTGATCCCCGGCATCCCATATGGTTTCCCCAACACTGCTAGGAGTAATTTCTGGGTGCAGAGCCAGGAGTAACCCCTGTGCATTGCTGGGTGTGACCCAAAAAGGAAAAAAAAAGTGATTGGAACCGATGCTGCAATTGGAATTTTAATCCTTTCCCATTAAGTTATTCTGTCTATATCGAGCTTCAATGTCATCATTAAATCAGCTACTTGGTATTATCTGGAACATGTTATTTCTGGAAATGTCTATTTTATTTATTTTCTTCATCCAACAAGAAGCCATAACTTTATTAATGATAGAAACAGTACAAATTTCAAACCAAGCTGCAGTTACTCTTTTGAAACACCAAAAAAAAGGGTCTCCATTTTTCCAGATGGCTACATTGTTAATTCCATAATAGCATTTACCACATCATTACTGTTGTTCTTCAGGGCTTGGACTGCCTTTTCTCTCGACACGTCTGCCTGTGACGTGACGAATTCAATATCCTTAACTTCCACACCTGTTTCATCAACCTCTTCCTCTTCACTCTCCTGTTGTACAGTTGGAGTCTGTGTGTTTTCTTGACTGTTTGAGACAGCTTCACCTCGAACTTTGAATTTCTCAGCGGCTGCTAGCTGTGCTTGTTGAGATAAATCTTCGATCTTCGCTTCCCCGAAAACTATGTAGGTCTCTGGAGCTGGGCTCTTCTAGACATCTGGTTTTGTGATGACAAAGAGGATATTCTTAGACTTTCGGATTGTGACTCCAGTAACCCCTGTCACCTATCGAAGACCCAGTCTGGACATGCCTTCCGTGCTTTCTTTTCACTTCGGCTCTGTTTTGTTTTACTGATGGGTTCTTCATCGATCTCAGCTGCGGCTGCTGCCAGCTGAGCTTGCTGCGTGGTGGCTTGTGTGGAATCCTGTTCCTCGAGTTCTGGTACTGATTCATCACTGTCAGATTCTGTTCCAGATCCTGTCTCAGCCTGGGGCTGTGGCAACTCCTGCTCTTGTGGCAGGGACGGTTTCTGTGGCTTCACTGGGCATGTTGTGTGGGGAACGCAGAGCCAAGGTGGCAGCAGAAAGAGAACGAGCCTGGAATGTCTATTTTAATCAAAATAATCTTCGATATCAATATTTGGATCTAGTAGATCTTCTCCGTATGATGAAAGATTCATCTGGTTTAAAATTAAGTTCTCAAACGTTTCTTCTAAGTCAGTTTCTCCGATCAAGACGGCGCCCATCATGCGCCCGTTCTGCATGACCACTTTGACGTATTCCTGCCCTTTGGTGCACCGCAGCATTAACTCGTGATCGGAACCCAGGCCCTGCGCGTTGTATTTCCCTAGTAATACAACCTGTATGGAAAGGAGTAAAACAGAAATCCTCGTGAGGAACAGAAGAAAGAGTGCGCAGTTCCTGGGAACAGCCCGGAGAAAATGACACATTTTACAGCTGAATTATCACCAAGAAGGGTGCTATAGTACTCAAGTGGCATCACAAACATAAGACGATTGAGCAAGCATACAATTCTGTACAGCCTCCATTCATGATTTTAAAATGGAATAAGGAATTGTGGAGCAAGGGATTTAATCTCCCCATGTACGAGAGCTTCTTGAAAACAGACCCCCTGGGTAATATAGAGGAGATGAAGACAATACCTATGGGAAAAACACCTGGCTCACTCATGGTTGACAGCGGTCACTCCCCCTTTCAGAGAATGAATCTCAAAACAGACAGGAACCGACAGAGAACAAAAACAGGAGGCACCGAGATTGCAAGAAATGGGGAACGTATTTTTTCTTAAAATGATAAAACTGTAAATTTTTCTCCTGTTGAAGAAATGAGTTTGCAGTCAACTTGCACAGTAAGAAATCTGGCCAGATGGTCTTGGGAAGGTGCTCGCCCCGCAAGGGCTGAAGCCAGTGCAATCCCAGCAGCTCCAGCAGGGACCTCGAAGAGCCAGCAGTAAGCGAAGAGCACTACAGGGGTGGCGCAAACACCATCCTCTGCCCCAAAATCCCCTCCCCCCCGCAAAGGACTACAAGAATTAAGAAGGCATGCATTGGCTCATCGTACCTTGTAGTTAAAAAATTTTGTTACGTGAGCAAAAAGTTCAAAGCTGAAATCCATGTCGATGGCATGTCCCAAAGTGTCAGCTGCGAGGCACTTGGCGGCGTACCAGCCCATCTGGCGGGCTTGGGTCCACAGCCTCATCTGGAATGAAGACACAAGCAGGATTATATCGAAGACACAACTTTTACAATAATAAAGTTTCAACCGAACACGAAGACTGTGTGCGGCACTCAGTGTCTGTCTGGCAGTCTGTGGCACTGGTCGGATCAGGTGCTTAAGGATGACGGCCTCGGCCTAGAAGCCATCCCCAACCTGCTGTGTAAACTACTGACCCTAATGGCCGACACCACCAGATGGTTCTATAACGCTTCCGTTTCAAAATTACTAAAATATTTTGGACTATGACAAAAATAAGCTTTTAACCTGTTTCCTTCTTTAGAAAAATTTAGCAGCACTAATAAGAGTGTCGTAACTGAGAAATCTCTCTCCTCTTAGCTTCTCATGCTCGTTAAAGCCCAGCATGTGGGCTGTAGAGAGAGCACTGTGGGTAGAGCACTGGCCTTGCATGTGGTCTTGGAGACCATCAGCAGTGAGCCGTGAGAGTGGGCCCTGGCACACTGCAACCCAGCAAACAGTCACAACCAGTGAGTCCCGGGTTTCTGACTGGGATGGGGGTGTGGGGGGGTGGGCAGAGCCCCTAAATCCCAAGTGCAGGGTCAGCAGTAGTTTTCCTTTATCATCAGGAGACAGAGAAGTCAGCACTGGAGGAAACCGGGGCTGCCTGGGAGGAGTGCTCGACGAAGGATGTTTACAGGAACCACTTTTTCAGCACTAATTTCCACTGGAACTGAACGCATAGCCCTACGTTCTGTCAGCAATCTGCTTTTTGATTTAAGAATGCACTTTCCAAATATGGAAGCCATGGGCAGCTATCACAAATTAAATTAACGGAAAGAGCAGAATTCAAGTCCTTCGCCACATTCACCCTAGGCCGCGTTCCAGCAGACGCATGTGTCTGGTGGTGTCAGAGTGGACTGGGCAGGAGTAGAGGACGCTCCCTCTTGGCTGGACAGTGAGGAAATGCCCTGACAGTGACAGGGGAGGAGAGCCCTAAATGCCCGTCACGTCATCTCCGTCTGTTTCCGTAGGATATAGTCAACATCATGGCCTGACAGTGCCATTTTGTGTTTTAGTTTGGGGCAGGGGGGTCACACCCAGCGTGGCTCGGGACGCAGGTCCTTCCTGGCTCTGACGGGGCTTTGGGGACTACATGGGGTGCTGGGGGCTGAACCCAGGGTGGTGCCTGCAAGGTTTTTCCCGTTGAACCAGCTTTCTGGTCCTCGTTTGTTCTTCACATTTGTTCTAGTTGAGAGTAGCAGTGGGGAGAAAGCAAAACTGGCCCCCCTCTTTGTGTGTTCAGTTACCACCGAGGACCCAGCCCAGCCGTGCCTGCTCACCTGCTGCCAGAGGGCGCTGGGCTGCCAGGCGGCGGTGCAGATGTCCCCCGCCGCATAGACGTCGGCCACCGAGGTGCGCATGTGCCCGTCCACCTTCAGGCCACCGTCCTCCCCTAGGTCAAACTGAAGGAGGGGTCCTCTTAAGCACTCGGCTAAGAGACAGGAAGCTGGGGCCCAGAGCTCGGTGCTTGGGGACTCCAACTCCCATGACTCGGACAGGCCCATTCATACTCCTGACTTTCCCCACCAACAGTTCCCAATCGTGCACGGCTGCCATACTCGTGATTGCAGGATCCCTGCGTCTGTAAGGCCCAAATGGTAAAATATATATATATATATATATATATATATATAATATATAAATACTAGAGGGGTCCTCTCAAAGGACCACTTTCACCCCTCACCCTGTCCCAGGACAGACCAGGCGACCTGAGCGGCCTCTGATGCCGATCCAATTCTACCAGGACAGCCCCTGAGCGAACCTGGCCCGCCTCCCTTCTGCACAGGCATGCGGGGTTCGTGATCAAGGGTTCGTCTGCACTAAAGGGTCAAGACTAAGGATTCCCAGGTGCCCGTCTCAGCGTCTGATGGACCCTCAGAAACTGGGCCCTGTGCCCCTGGCGGGGGGGGGGGGGTACTTCCTGCTTAGACAAGAACTGCCCGAGGACCCGAGGGAGCAGTTGAGAGTCAACTCTACCCATCCCGCAATGTCTCAGTGTGACACTAAGATGATGCTTGGGAATGAAGAGGGGAAATAACCAATTCTTTAAAGGAACACACTCGCATCTTACGCTGTTGCCCGAGAGAAAAGGGTTGACGTTCGGTGTGACGCCAGTAGCACTGACAATGAAGTCACAGCCGTAGACCTTCCCGTTGGTCAGCTCCACGTACACAGGCCATAACTCTGAAAATAAGGAAGAAAAGCCTTGCTCTCAAATGCCATCACCTCCCATCACCATCACTTTCTGTCGGCGACCACTCTGAAACGCCGCCTAAGCTTATAAGGCAACCTGCTGGAGCAACTGCACGCAGTCGGTGTGAGCTTCCGGTAAGGGGTGTCATTAACAAAATGATGGCAACGCAACCCAAATATTTTCAAATTTAGAAATTTTAACCAGGTAAAATGACTGGCTACCGCTTTCTAAATTATTTCTTTAGAAGTCCTGTAAATATGAAATCCACTGAGTGTTAAGTGCAACAAAGTTCTCAATTTTTGATGTGATTCCCTGACGAAGTGTATTCAAGCCAACCCTCCTTTTCCTATCAAAAAGCTTGACGGAGTCATTCATCCCAGTAAAATATCTCTGATGCCGGTTTGGCCGAGTGCTTCTCTGCAAGTGACGGCTCCCTGGGAAGCGGAGACGAGGAAGCAGACCGTGACTATCTCCATTTTGCTTCCCCTCCGAGAGCACCAAGTGACTTTCCTTTCTGTCCTGCGTCTCGTCGGAGGTACCGTGTCGGCACACCACCAGCCGGCCCAGCGCCGAGCACTCCGGCGGCTGCCCTGAGTGGGTCCGAGGAAAACTGGGGCTTCAGCTTTACTTTCCATGTGTAAATTTTAAATACGGGTACAATAATAACTTTGCCCCCATTTCATTACTTGCCTGTGTCAGCTGTGACTGATTCCTTCGGGCAGCCCCTCGGAAAAGCCAAGGACGTTTTCCCGGAGGTTCTAAATTCCTCCTGAAGGTAGATTCTTTTGACTTCACATAAAGTTTCAATGTGAATCTTATGGGAGAACTGAAATACAAAGATACCGGTGACCAAAACACTTCAGGAAAGAATGACTTAAGTTACCGATAACAAAGGGGAAAAATGTATAATCTACCTATGCACATACAATACACTGATACACGTAGGAGAAAGTGATTCTTAAAACCCAAATGCAAGTACTGGGTACCTCAGGTCAGCAACTCCCCGCCAGTGCACCCAAGAGGGCAGAAACCCTGAGGAGACTGAGCACCTGAGGGTACTCACTGCTTTGGCAGAAAGCACAGAGGCTTATATGTGAAAGTGAGTGGGAGACTCACTTATAACTTATATATATATATATATATATATATATATGTATGTATATATGTACAATCACACCAGATGTTTATATTCTCCTTTATGCTGGGGGCAGAACCCTGGCCTCACACAGGCCAAGGCGTGTGTCTCACACTGACCCCCGTCTCTGCTCTGAGGTTCTCTGTTGTTGCTGGGCCATACCTGGAGGTGGCCAGGGGTTATTCCTGGCTCCGTGCTCAGAGGACAGGATGTGGGGGTCGGCCGGACGGAGGCAAGAGCCTCACCCCAGGACTAACTCTTCAAAGCCACACCCGTTCAGGATCACTGAAGCCCCCTGAAGACAGGTGTGCCTCAACTTGTTCTATTCCAGAACCTCAATCAGTACTGAGTAAGGAGATACACTGTAAATGTCTTCCTAACTAAACTGCTCAAGTTCTAAGATTAAAAAACAAAACAAAACAAAACCAAAAGTCACTCAACTTTAGGATCCGAAGGTGCAATAAGAAAAGACTTAAAGTAATTTTCAAGACCAACACTAACTGCTCTAAAGCCAGCCCCACACGCAGAAAGAGACACAGAATATGAACTGCATGCATCTCCGTGACTTGTGACTGTCAGAGGCTAGGAACTATTAACAACTAAAACCCCGAGCAAAAATAAGACCATGCCCACTGTGTATCCAACCAGGATACTCAAGGTGTATTTTATTTAGATTTCATCTCGTAACCGTGATTTAAATACCGCCATGTATTCAATGCCATTGATGCATAAAGCTTGCTTTCCCGGGAGGAGTCTGCAAGTCGGTGACGGGCCCAGAGAGCGCGCAGTGGGCTGGAGTGTGGGCTTGGCATGTGTCAGGCACGGGCCGATCTGGGCACTGCATGATCCTCCAACTACCCAGGGCACAGCATGCGAGCAGGGCTGGCAACTGGGCCCCCAAACAAGCAAAAGGCCGAGAGGGAGTTCTCGACGCCTCTTCCGAAGGTTCACCTCAGAATGGCAGGCTACGGGGCCAGGTCGCCCCTTCCCGTGGCTGAAGAATCAGCCGTGTGCAGACCCTCTCGTCGGCGCAGGAGAACGTACCTCTCTCGTGCCTTTAAGGTTCAAGCCTTGGTGCCAGTCGGGCCCCAAGGCACTCCCTGTGTGACCTGCACTGGCTCCGCTCTGCGGCTTCTTTCTGCCTGCTGAAGAGATAAGCTTAAGATCAGGTCAAAAGGCAAACGACAGAAAAGTGGCTCGGTATGGACGCATCACACTCTCGCTCAGAGTTCCAGATGATGAGGGATTTTTAGACACATGGGCAACATAATCAACGATATCAGGGACTTGCTGATTTCAGACCTATAAAATACTGTCTGGAGGGCTGAATGTTTGGGAAGTCATACATATGAAGTGCTGATATATGAATGATATAATAACTGGTTAATCTTAAAAAAATTAGCCAAGTTTTGAAAATATTGTCAGTTTACAATATTCTCCAAACTTAAAATTTCATAAGGCAAAAGTTTAAGGGGGGAAAAAAAAACTCCAACAAATTCTATAAACAGATGCAGAGGAACTGATTTTTTTCATTTAGTTTATGTTCCTAGTTTTAGGTATTTTCCCTAATCTATGAATCACAGGAAAACTAAAAAGTCACCTAAGAATCTAGAAGTAAGGGGTCGGAGCAATAGTACAGTGGGTAGGGCGTTTGTCTTGCACGTGACAGACCAGGGTTCAATCCCCGGCATCCCATATGGTCCCCCAAACACTGCCAGGAGTAATTGCTGAGTGCAAAGCCAGGAGTCACCCCTGAGAATCTACAAGTAAATAAAAGCTATATTCTATCACACCATTTTTCTTTTTCTTTTTGGGTCACATCTGGCGATGAGCAAGGGTTACTCCTGGCTCTACACTCAGGAATCACCCCTGGGAGTGCTCAGGGGACCATATGGGATGCTGGGAATCGAACCCGGGTCGGCTGCATGCAAGGCAAATGTCCTACCTGCTGTGCTATCGCTCCAGTCCCACCCCAGTATTTTTCGCCTTTTAGAAATAAAGACTTTGAATCTGGGGTTTCTCCCGGGGACATTTCCCAGGCAGCTGGGGAGGCGTGAGGCGTGGTGCTGGCTGGGGAGGGGGTGCCCGACCCCCCTGGTCTCTCTGGCGCCCCCCCAACGTTTCCCAGCCCTTCCCTAGCTGCCGTGGCTTGGCCGGGCCCACTGACCTTCCATCGTGTACCTGGTCCTTTTCTGCGTGCTGGCAGCCTCTAGCTTCTCGGCACCGAGCTTGCACGTCAAGAACTGCGCGGCTCCGGCATCGAAGAAAGTGTTCCCGATAGCTTTATCTTTAATGGCCCAGATCACTTCACAGCCCTCGACTTCGTATCTAGAAGGAATCGGGACGATTACGAGTCAGGGAGCCTTTAAGGCAAGCGGGACTGTGCCTGAGGGGGGCTATGCGGGGAATGGGTGGCGGGGGCAGACAGGAGCTCTGCATGCAGGGCCCAGCAGGGCCTCCGGTTCTGCAGCGGGGGGACCCCAAGTGCTGCTGCATAAGGCTCCGAAAGAAAATACATCAACAGCCCCCAAAGTTCAAGGAGAGTAATAAAATAAACTGCGGTGCATTTATTGCTACACAGTCTTCTCCTGAAAGCTCTGTGCTCTGTCTGAATAGTGAGCATTTCAAACATTTCAAACTAATTTTTTCATTGACAAAAGGAATCGAATCTTTTACTCAAAGTACATGTGACGTCTATGTCCTGGTTATGTACTCCATTTTCCTCATGATAAACATGAAGCAAAACGTTCCATTTCTGCGACAGAGCCGGTGACCCCGAGACAGAAGGGTTCTAACTGCCACGACACAGGGGGTAGCTGGTCGGTGAGCAGTGAATATGCACTTTGAGCAAAACATGGAGGTGGGACAGGAAGGAACTGGAGACATAAACTTGGAGCTTTAAATGTGCTGGAAAGTACTACATGGAAAGTATCATGCTGAGCGAAATGAGTCAGAAAGAGAGGGACAGACATAGAAAGATTGCATTCATCTGGGGAACATAAAGGAACAAAAGAGGAGACTAACAAACACCCAAGAATAGCCGATATAAGGAGATTCACTCCATGGCTTGGAGGCTAGGGAGAAAGACAGCTCAGATAGAGAAGGGAGCACCAAGTAAAGAGTGTTGGGAGGATCCTCCCAGGATGGGAGAAGCATGCTGAAAGTTGACTATAGACCAAACATGATTGTCACCCATTGCCTCTTTTGCAAACCACAACACCCAAAAGGAGAGAGAGAGAACAAAAGGGAATGCCCTGCCACAGAGGCAGGGTGGGGTGGGGGGTATGGAGGGTGGGAGGGATACTGGGATCCGTGGTGGTGGGAAATGGGCACTGGTGGAGGGATGGGTACTTGATCACTGTATGACTGAAACCCAAGGACAAAAATTTGTAAGTCTACAACTGTACCTCATGGTGTTTCACTGATAAAAATTTTTAAAAAAAAAGGAACTAGCACCCTGCAATCTATTCCTTCTGTGTCAGCAGTTTCCTAGCTCTTAAGGCAAAGCAAGCTGCAGCATCCAACAAGTGAGGATCCTGCAGGGAGAAGTGGTGGTGGTGGTGGTGGTGTGTGTGTGTGTGGGGGGGGGGGGGGTGGCAGGGGCCCTGCAGAGACCAAAAGGGTCCTGGGAGAACTCTTCCAGGCTCCCCTGGGGCCCAGCAGCCCCTCACAGAGAGGGGCAGGCCCAGCCCGGGACTGGGAATGGGTGAGCAGAGACAGTTCTAGCAGTTCCTTTCTCTGGCGGCCCAGCTTCCTAGCCGAGTGACACCCAGACCCTGCCATGTCGGCCACAGGCGTGGAGCTCAGTCTCTGAGAACATGAAGCAGCGGTTGGGTGCAGGAGAGTCTTGCTCTTCTGAACTGGAAAGATCATCTCAAAATGAGAATATTTTGGGTGACTTCCTGTGTTCTTCGTCCCCAGACTCCCAGAAATAAATCCCAGGAAAAGCAGAAGTACCACGCAGTCCAGAATAAATCTCACCAACACCTGGGGGTTCACAGGCCAGAGCGGTGACAGTGGCGAGAGAAGCAGGTGTCACCCGGGCGGGGTGACAGATCCTCCCGGCCATGCAGACACGCTGGCTTCCAGCTCTGCTGACACACGCTTGTGGGCTCAATCTGGCCAGTCGCCCGTGTCTGACCCGGGAGACAGAAAATGTCTAAGGACACGGCCGTGAGCTGGACCCCGGAAAAACTAAGATGGAGAGTGGACTTACACGCCCTGAAACTGATGCAAAACAGAGACATTTGTCCTTGCGGGATGGCCCACCGACTGGCCTGGTCAGCCAATGAGCACCCGGACAGCAGAACGGTCGGCAAACACGGAAAAGCTCACACTTACGCCAGTTCCAGAGCGATGCCGCCGTTGCCCACGATCAGAATTCTCTTCGCGTGAGTGAGCTGCTTCTGGAACTCCTGGAGGCCAAGGCAAACAGGGTCACGGCTGAATGGCCTCCAAAGGAAAGAAATGTCCCCTTCCGGCTCAGAGGGGGATGTACACCGCCGCCTGGGCAAATCCCCCTTCTCTTCTAGATCATTCCCTGCAGCAGCGCGAGAGGCACCGGACCCCAAGGGTGGGAACAACTCACTCCCAACTGCTTTCTTTTTAAGGTAGGAAGAAAAAAGGAAATGGCCTCGGTAACAGTGTAGGTGACATGGGAGATGAGAGGAGGCCGACACTCCCCAGCCCGGCTCTGTCCCTTCCAGGCCCTCAGTGGGCTCCATCCTGAGCCCCCCGCCCCCCCCACACACACCTCAGGGTCTTCAGACTCTCCTCCCTCTCCTGGTTTCCGAAGGGTAAGTACCCAGAGGCAGAGAACTCAGCACAGCAGTAACTAATGAAAGCTTCTCTCCCCCACAATGTGGCCAACCCCCAAAAGCCCACCGGGAGCCTGGAGAGGCCTGTGGTCTTCCTCAGGGCCCCTTCCAGAACCCCCAGCAGCCTGGGGCTTCAGGGCGCCTCTGACTGGCTCCCTTTACTCCTCCAATGTTAAGCCATCGTTTCTGTTCACCTGACCCCTGATAAATTTGCTGTTATCTGCTATAGGCACTGAGCTTCACTGGCTGAAAGCGCCAAAAGAAACTGGTTTTGGTTTTGTCTTTCATGGAGAGGCAGGTAAATAAATCATTTTCCAAAATCTGCAGAGAGTACTGGACAGGGAAAGGAATGGCGGGACTTGAAACTGAACTTCTGATGAGCTAAGAACTCCAGAACGGGAAACTGCTGTGTCTCAGGTGGGTGTGGGAAAGACGACGGTTGTCGCCCGGAACCAAGAGCCCAGGGGTCTGTCCGCGGAGGGGCCAGATCCCGGCCACCAACCCTATCTCTGGCCGCAGGAACCCAAAACACTTACGGGAGGAGAATCAAAGTTCTCCCAGTTTTCTCTACAGTCTGAAAGAAAACATGGTCCCTTTCAATGCACGTGTTATCGTATCACTGTACAATGATCAGGCCAGCAGCCTGAGTGAGACTGAGAGCCGTGGCAGGGGAGCAAGAGCAGGGGGAGCTCCTGTGCAGCGGGGGCCAGCCGCTGAAGTCAAGTGCAGAAGACAGCTCCAGGGCGTCACCCCACGCGCAGGCTTAACCGCTGTTTCTGACAAGTAATCAAGTGAGTCTCTTTTCTGGGATCCTGCACCAGAGAGAGGTACCTTCTGAATATTCATTTCTCTGCCGAGGTGTAAGTTCAGGAAATTTCTAATGCTCTCCACCTTTGAAGAAAAAGGCTGTTTCTTTCCATCAAGAAATCCATCTACCCCATTTAAAATAGTCTCCCCAAACATCAAGTATCTACGAGATAGCTCAACAACAGACATGAGAGCGACTACACCATGATAACTGTAAGCGATTTAAGAAAGAGAGAGAGGAAGACCTTTGAAGTGGAAAAATACCCCATACTCACACACACACTGGAAGAATCAATATTATTAAAATGACTATTGTATCTAGAGCTGGAGTGATAGCACAGTGGGTAGGGCGTTTGCCTTGCACGCAGCCAACATGGCCAACCCAAGTTCGATTCCTCCGTCCCCTCAGAGAGCCCGGCAAGCTACCGAGAGTATCTCACTCGCATGGCAAAGCCTGGCAAGCTCCCCGTGACGTATTCGATATGTCAAACACAGTAACGAGTCTCACCATGGAGACGTTACTGGGCCCACTCGAGAAAATCGATGAACAACGGAGGACAGGACAGTGACAGTGATTCTATCTTAGCTATTATACAGAGTCAATTCATCCCCCATCCAAATTTAGATGACACTCTTCCAGGATCTAGAAAAGTCAATAATAAAGTTTGTATGGAATCAGAAAAGACTGTGACTAGCCAGAACCATATCCTAAGAAAGAAGAAATTGGGAGCTATTTCATTACCTAATTTGGAGCTGTATTATAAAGCTATCGTGATCAAAGCTGCATGGGACTGGAATAAAGACACACCCTCCAATCAATGGGTCAAAATCGAACATCCTATGACAAAACCCCATATATATGGGCAGTTGACTTTCAATAGAGGAGCTGAGAACATGAAATGGAGTCAAGATAGCCTCTTCAATGAATGGTGCTGGGAAAACTGGATAACTATATGTAAGAAATTAAAGCTGGGTCCGTAACTTACACCTCGCACAAAAGTCAATTCAAAGTGGATCAAAGACCTTGAGATCCTACTTCATGGAGAGCTCGCAGAAAATTTATGAACTGAACTGCCAGATGACCCAGCAATTCCACTGGGCATCTACCCCCAAGACATAAAAACATTCTCTCAAAAGGACATATGCACACCATTATTAATTGCTGCACTCAGTACAATAGCCAAGATATGGAATCAACCCGGGTGTCCAACAGCTGATGAATGGATTATGAAGATGTGGGATATATATACACAATGGAATACTATGCAGCTGCAAGGGATGATACAATCTGCAAGGAATGATACAATTTGCTGCAGTCTGGTTGGAATTGGAAGATACCATACTGAGTGAAGTAAATCAGAAGAGGAAAGACAAACACGGGATCATCTCACTTATCCGTGGTACACAGACTATCAAACGAGAAAACACATCATAGTAAAAGGGGGCTGCTTAGATCACCCTTGACATCAGTGTTTAGAGAGGGGACAGATAGAGAAGGAAAGAAATCAAGGGGGGAAGAAGAGAACAAGAAGTAATGGATGAACAGGCATTTAGGGCTTCAGTTATGCCAGTGACATGAATGAGGGGTAGAGCCCATGCCCCAAGCACAGATCCAACAGGACCTAAGCTGCAACCACTGACGCTCTGTAATGGTCCTGTCAGGTTGACAGGTGGGGCGGAGTGGAGCTGGGGTGGGAAGGGAATCTGGGAACGCTGTGGGGGGAGGTTGACACTCGTGGGGGGACGGGGGTTGAATTGCTGCATGCCTGAAACGCAACCATCAGTGACTTTGTAAATCATGGTTCTTTAATAAAAAAAAAATTTCCTAAAAGGCTGCTTTTTGAGAGACTGGGAGTGACAGGGCTGGGTTATACCCAGTGGTGCGCAGAGGCAATCCCTGACTCTGTGCTCAGGAGTGATCCCTGGTGGTGTTCCAGAGAGCAAATGCAGAGTCACAGATGGAACCTGGCAGGGAAGATTATTGCTTGTAGTTTGCAAATCACTGGACTCCCAAGCAAAGCAGAACGCTGAACATCCTGCGCAGTTTGAACAGTAACATCCAGCATCAAAAAGGCAAGACCTTTGGACACCAGCATGAAGGAAATAACAATCGACTAAGACCACACCACGCCAGAATTAGAAAAAACATTTTTGGTTTGTGGGTCAGAAAAGAAGCCTCTCTCTTGCTCCTTTAAGAATAAAATAACATAATAAGAGACGGACACCCAGGGACAGTAGACACAAGGGCCAGGAATATTGCCCCCCCATAGTTGGAAGCCTGTCTCATGAGCAGGGGGAGAAGGCAGCTGGGATAGAGAAGGGATCACCAAGTCAATGATGGTTGGAGGAATCGTTCGGGATGGGAGATGTGTGCTGAAAGCAGATAAGGAACCAAACGTGACAGCATCTCAGTATCTGTATTGCAAACCATAATGCCCAAAAGTTGAGAGAGAATATGGGGAAACTGTCTCCCATAGAGCCAGGGGGAGGGCTAGAAGGGGGGGTGGTATACTGGGGAAATTGGAAATTGGTGGTGGAGAATGTGCACTGGTGGAGGGATGGGTGTTGATCATTGTATGATTGAAACTCAAACATGAAAGCTTATAACTATATCTCATGGTGATTCAATAATAAAAAATAAAAATAAAAAAAATAAAAGAATGAAATACTTAAAGAGTAAGTGGCCCAAGATGACACAAGGGTAGAAAGGTGGGAGGTACTGTCCTCTCCCCTCGCCTGGCCAACGCTACCTGGGCACTGTCCGTGTCCCGGATCCCCAGCACGTAAGGATTTCCTTCGCAGATCAGCTTGGGTTTGGCCCCGGCACACAGGCAGAGTTTCTTATAGACGTGCTGGCCACCATCTTCCGTGAAAAGGCACTGCGGAAACAGAGGCAGTGAGGGACAGGGCGGAGACAGGGACCCGTGGGCACAATTTAATACGACAAAGGGATAAAAAAGGTAAAAGTAACAAGACAAAAGCAAAAAATACATTAAAGGTGCTTCCTGGTGACACCCCATTCTTTGTTACAGCAAGTATGAAGCTCGACCTAAATATGTTGTCCAGTCTGATTCTTAATCACTTTGCGGCTACCTGACAACCTGATGAAATCCAATCTTTTCCCCTGGACCAAAGATGGACAGTCATGCAAAAGTTTGCATTAAACAGAGAATGGTGTCTGAAAAGGTACGATGGCCTCGGGGTAGCTTGAGATATTCTCAACTGAGCGCTCTGCTGGGTGGAACTTGATGAAACTTCTAGCCTCAATGGAAGCTATCATAAGAAGATCTGATTCTAACCACATCATACCTGTTACCACAGATTTTAATTCTCATGAACAGTGTGCCAAGGTTTGTTTCCCCCCCACATTCTAATATTTTCCCCCCCCTTTTGATCAGTCATTCTAAGAGGTCTGAGGTAGATTCTTCCTGGGATTCTCATTTGTGTCCCTGATGACTACTGATGCTGTACATTTCCCCAGGGATTCGTGGCCAAGATTCATTGCGTTTGTTCCTGAGAGTTGAATGAGAATCTAGAAATTAATAGATTTTAGGCAGCAGAAATACATAAACTCGTGCTATGAGAAACACCAGGCTTTGTAAGGACGCCTGGGACGGCTGTGGTTTATGACGTCACATGGCACTCTATACCACACAGCTCAGCTCATCAACTGCATCACAAACACATAAAGCCAATGACCCATTACAGTGTCACCCCTGGAAACTCTGGTGCTGGTGGACAGACGAGGCCAAGAGCAGGCTGGACACCCCCTCACCAAGATTTGACAAGGAAATCCAGTCAGGAAACAAATCTTACATGGTCTTCACTCTTTAAGTGCTTGACGGCGGATTCTATCACCTTAATGTTGGGAAAGCGATTTTCTAACACGGTACTTGGCTGTTCTTCAACATCGAATTCTTCTAATACTTTCGACACCTATTGGAGATCAGAGAGGTGAAAATGTAGCTTGAAAAAAACACCGCTTCCGGGGATTTTAAATAATGAAAAAAAACTTCCGACTTTTTTTCACGCAGCATTTCGGAAAGCCCCGAAAATGTCTTTTTACTATTTTCTGACACAGTCCCAGGCGGGTCTGGGGGAGACGATGCTCTGTAGACCTCTGCTGGTCCCTGCCCACATGTGAGCCCACAGGCACGTCCTGCGAGTCAGGCTGGGACCCCCACAATCGGGAGGACCCGTTCTAGGGGCTGCGGGGGGCTCAGACCCTGAGTTCAGTCCCAGGCACAGCTTAGCTGAGCCCAGAACCACTTGGTCCCGTTAGCCCAGCACTGCCGGGCACCCTGGGGACTCCTTGGGAATGTCCCGCTCCTGCAGGGAGAATCCCCCAAACTAACCTCCCCCTCCCCACCCGCCCTCTCAGACCCCAGCACCAGCCCGGGCCTGGCAGCCGCCTGGCCACCCTGGCATGGGCCTGGCAGTTTCCGCATCTTCCAATCTTACAAACGACCGAGAACCCCAAAGGGAGTTTTTGTGTGACGTTAATGACACCTGCGACATTGGAAATATAAAGACTGAAGCATTTGGCTCATTTAGGAGTAGCAATAAATCCTTCCAGTTCCGGTGAAAATTTCTCCTCCTGATATAAAGCCCCATTCTTCTGGTGAAAATTCCAAACTTAGGTATGGCCACCAAATGTCTCTACTGTTTGGCTTTAATTAAAAAAAAAAAAAGAAAAAGAAAAAGAAAAAGAAAAAGCTGCCCTATCCGTCCGTCCACTATCCAATAACTCGCATTCAGTCCTGACACAGGCTGTTGCCTTGACTGAAATACAAACTGTCCCCACATCCCTCAAAAGCGCCGGGTCGGTCTCGGGGAAAGGAGGCTCTTGGGGCCCAGGCCTGGTCGTTTCAAATGGAATACCTGGCCTGCACCCTCTGCTCATGGAAACCCCATCCAAGAGGCCCCCATCTGTGAACCACCCTGAGGCCTGGACCCACTGCACAAAATCTGTGTGGCTGACAGAGCAGGACTCAGGTGCAGCACCCAGGACCCTTGCACTGTGAGGCCTCCTGGGAAGATGCCTTTAGGCTACGATATGTCATTCCCCTGGGACAGAGAACAGATCCTCTTTCTTCTTAAGGGCCAGGGTTTGTGCTCTAGTCCTACCAATCCCAAAACCGTCTCGCTCGCTGGTGCTTAGATACTCAGGTGCTTCACCTCTGAGCAACAGCAACATAAGGCACAAAAATAACCTTTGGACTCAGGAGTTTACAAGCTACGTTCGATTCCACTGTCAGGGTATTAGAAGAGAGAACTCACATCAGATAAAACATTGTGGCTCAACACCCAAAAGGAGAGAGAGATCAAAAGGGAATGCCCTGCCACAGAGGCAGGGTTGGGTGGGGGGGTGGGTTGTGGGAGGGATACTGGGATCCGTGGTGGTGGAAAATGGGCACTGGTGGAGGGATGGGTATTTGATCATTGTATAATCGAAACCCAAGCACAAAAATTTGTAAGTCTACAACTATTCCTCATGGTGTTTCACTAATAAAAATTAAAAAAACAAAAAAATAAAAAACAAAAACCATTGTGGCTATAGGCTTTCCTGAAGCGTGGGCAGAAAAGACACGCGTGGCCTTCTACTCTAAGTTTCTGTGCAGATACTACGGTGCTCAGAATCGTAATGTGGCCGTACAGCAGGAAAAAGGCAACTAACATTCTGAAAGCTTTTGGTTTTCAATCTACAGAATTCTAGATTTGAGCTTTGATTTTAAGAAACAACGATCAAGAGGATACTGGTAGTTTTAAGCCCATAAAGTGCGACAGCAACGTCCCGGATTATTTGATAGTGAGCAGAGGCTCTCACCTGCTTGAAGTTCGTGACGGCTTTAATGAGAGGAGACGCTGTGACCAGGACGATCTCTTCCGACGGAAACTGAAGGGCCAACTGATTTCAAAAGCAGGAAGAGAAAAAATATGTAAAAAAGTGACTTTAGATAACAGTGACGGGAACCGAGACAGGGACGATGGTGGCAGAATAAGGCCGTCAAACCTGTTCTGCGTCTCCAGGGCCCCAACAGCCCGTGTCTACTCACACTGAAGGTGTGGGTGTGCGGTGGTAAGCCGTGAACACTGACAAAAGGGGCCGCACACACTAAATGCGAATGAAGAGCCTGAGCGTGCCAAGTGATGGAACAATCGTCCTTACACACTTAGAGCTATTTATACAGCTATTTCCAGTTCTGCAGCGGCTAAGCACCTGCTGTCACGCCCAGGGCCGTTCGTGTGAGGAGAGCGCACCCAGTGGCTCTCGGTGGGATGAGGGGGCAGCGAAGTCTGAGTGTGAACATCGAGAGTCTCGGTCCGACTTCTCCTAAGCGCTCCGGCCTCTTGCGGACAGACCCAGTGCACACTAGCGTTAGCCACGCCAGGCACTAAGCCCCCGCCTCACTTGACTTTAAACTTGACACAGTTCCCTGGCTCAAGGGCCACACCCAGACCCCCAATCTCTGCCTTCACCCTGCTGGACCACTCCTGCTGGCGTTCACCCCGACATCCTTGAGAACCACAGGTGTCTCCAGGAGAACCCTCCCCTCTTCACCCTCCTTCCCTGCCCCAACTCCCCCTCCCACTGGCTAGACGGGCCCTCAAAGCTTCACCTAAGGACATCGGAGCCGTCTCAGAGGAGGGGCCGCCCCTAGCTCCAGCTGACCTGCCTGTTTGGTTTTTTTTCCAACGAAACCATCCCTCTTCAATGTTGTCACTTGGTCACAGCACTCCGCTGCTTGGAAACGATCCATGGATGGTCCCTCGCTTCCTTCCGGTTGAGACCCGCCCCAAGCACCAAGGGTGCGAGCTCAGCTGCTCTCAGCCGGGCTTTCCCCGAGATCACCCCGAAGCTGAATTGGAAAGTGTCTATTTTTGTCTACCAGGGAACGGCAGATGCATCTGAAAAAGCGTCTCTAACTCGAGCCCACTGGCAGCCAGGATGCCCTAAGGAGCGAGCTCAGAGAAGGGATTTATTCCGTCTGTCCTTGCGGGAACCGGGCTCAGCCTTTGATTCCTGACTCCTCAGCACACTGCCCAGGTCATAAACTTTTACTCGGTGAAAGAATGTGGGAGACACACCCAAAGATTAAAAACCAAACAGGCAGGTCAGCTAAAACATGGGAGTTGGTAGCAATGGAACAACACAACTCAAGATTGTGTCTACAGAATTGTGTCTATATGCGGGGGGGGGGGGGGGGGGGAGCGCGGCTGGGGTCACTGAACACTGGTGGCAGGAAGCGGGCTAGGAAAGGGCCACCGACTTCCCAGCCAGAGCCTTGTCTGAAGCGTCCAGCTGGGTGTGGGGGACCGGGGGGGCATGCCTGGGGCAGGATCCCAGGCAGCCCTTGGGGGCTTGATACCCCAAAGCAGGGGCTGTGACACCCCAGGGCAGGGTAGTAGGCAACCCTGGGGCGGGATACCCCCTGGGCAGGGGCACAGGCAACCCTCAGGGCGTGACACCCCTAAAACAGGGTCACAGATGCCCCCTGAGGACATGACACCCCAGGGCAGGGTCTCAGGCAACCCCTGGGGGCGTGATGCCCCTAGGGCAGGGACACCCTAAGGTAGGCGATTCCCCCCCCCCCCACCTCGCGGGATACCCCCAGGGCAAGGTCGCAGGCAGCCCCTGGGGTGTGACACTCCTAAGCAGGGTTACAGGTGTCCATCCCAGCCTTCCTCCCTCCCCCCCCCCCTCCACGACACCCTGGTGCAGGGGCTGTGACTTCCCAGGGCAGGGTCGCAGGCACCCCCCCACCAGGTGACACCCCGGGGCAGGGTCACAGGTGTCCCCCCACCCCAGGGAGGTGACACCCCAGGGCAGGGTCGCAGGCACCCCCTGGGGGCGTGATACCCCCAGGGCAGGGTCCCAGGCACCCCTCAGGGCGGTGACATCCTGGAGCAGGGTCGCAGGCACCCCCTGGGGGTGTAATACTCCCAGCGCAGGGTCCCAGGCACCTCCAAGGCGGTGACACCAGGGGGGGCAGGGTCGCAAGTGCGCCTCCCCCCTCCCCCGTGTGACACCCCAAGGCAGGGCAGCAAGGGACCCCCTGGGGCGGTGACACCCCGGGGCAGGGTTGCAGGCAGCCCCCGGGGCGTGACACTCCTAAGCAGGGTCGCAGGTGCCTCCCCCCATCCCCCCGGGAGCGGTGACACCCCCAGGGCAGGGTCGCAGGCGGCCCCGGGACGGTGACACCCAGGGGCAGGGACGGTGACACCCCAGGGCGGGGTCCCAGGCACCCCCGACTCCCCCGGGGCGGTGACACCCTGGGGCCGGGTTGCAGGTGCATCCCCTCCTGGGGGCGTGACACCCCAGGGCAGGGTCGCCGGCGCCCCCCGGGTCCTACCTGCTCCGCACAGGTGACTCCCGCGATGCCGCCGCCCACCACCACGAACCTCCCCTCCGTCGCGGGCCCTCGCGCCGCCGCCATGGCCCGGGGGCCGAGCACTGGCCGGGGAGCGCGCGGGGAACCGACGCTTCGGCCGGGGAATCCCGGCGGGGCAGTGCCCGGCGCGCGGCAATTTCCGGTGACGGCGGCCGCGGGCCGAGCTACGGGGGCCGCGGCGGCTCACACTTTGTGTCCGCGCAACGCAGCCGCGGCAGCGCCCCCTGCTGGTGCCTGGGGCTGCGTGCGGCTGCGAAGTCGACTGACTTCGTGCAGAGGTTTGCTGAAGACTGTCACGGGCCGAAAGCGACAGTGGGCCTAGTTGATCATCGCATAATTGAAACCCAAGCACAAAAATTTGTAAGTCTACAACTGTACCTCATAGTGTTTCACTAACAAAAATTAAAAAAAAAAGAATTCCAACGAAGGCTGGAGAGAGAGCACAGCGGGGAGAGTGTTTGCCTTGCACGCGGCCGACCCAGGTTCGATTCCCAGCATCCCATATGCTCCTCTGAGCACCACCAGGAGTAACTCCTGAGTGCAGAGCCAGGAGTAACCCCTGTGCATCGCCGGGGTTGACCAAAAAGAATAAAAAGAGAGAGAACCCAGGCTTCTCCAAGGGTGGAGAGACCCCCACACCCCAACATTAGACAGGAAAGCATGAAAGTACACATATCAAGAGGGGAGATGTGGGCAATACTTGTGCTCCCACATGTGCTCAGCCAGGTGTAAGGATCACATGGGCTTGGACGGCATATGTGCGCCCGTCATTTTTTCAAGGCAGTCTTTATAGGGTTCTTCCACGTGGGGCTTCTACCTAGGTCAAAGTCCATTGCTAAGAAGATAGGGGGGAGGGATCGAAGTCCATTGCAAAGGAGGTAGCCTAGGGGGGTTCCAGCCTCCTCAGGGTCCTGTTGCTGGAGCCAAGTGAGTGGCTTTTCAGGCCTTAGTTCCTGTTTTCTGCAGGGTTGGCCTTTGCTACTTCAGAGGCATAACTTCCTAGGAAATTTACTGCCACCGCCTGGCGAGGGGGCCTTCACTATCTGTCTGCCTGCCTACGTAAGTATCACCTGGAGTGGGCTTAGAATCTCCTCACCCCCTGGACACTGTGGGAACACCCTGGAGTCCCCCAAAAGACCCTTCTTGAAAGATTTTATTGGGCTTAACTGAGCTACATTTTTGAGGAGAGCACACCCAGCCGGCTCAGGGCTGACTCCTGACTCTGCTCTTACAGGTCACTCCTGGCAGTGCTCAGTGGACCACACACGGTGCTGGTGATCAAATCCGGGTTAGTCGCGTGCAAGGCAAGCACTCGCCCTGCGGTACTATCTCTCCATTCCTGGCCGAGTTTCTTTTAAAGCTACGTATTGCCGAGCTCCAAGCCTCTTTCAGCCGAGATGAAGAAATGTCCGTTTAAGCCACTATCAGTGTTCTGTTGCTGAGCACACTTCTCAGCCGGCTCCCTGTAGTTACCTAAGGGCAGACACACCGACTCATCCCTCTCAGCTCATGCCACTAGGCCATGCTTATCCCCACTGCTCATCCCCGAGGGCCCTTCCCTGAGTTGGGGAGTCCTCCCACTGCCACCCCTCCATTGGTCATTTGTAGAGATTGCCCAGAAATGGCTTCCAACTGGGAGGCGTTCACTGGGGGCATGGTGTGATGCAACTCCTTCTTTTTTTTTTTTCCTTAAATTATTATTAGTGAAACACCATGAGGTACAGTTGTAGACTTACAAATTTTTGTGCTTGGGTTTCAGTTATACAATGATCGAATACCCACCCCTCCACCAGTGCCCGCCCATTCTCCGCCACCACCAGTCCCAGTATCCCACCCTCCCCCCACCCCCCCATCCCACCCTACCTCTGTGGCAGGGCATTCCCTTTTGTTATCTCTCTCCTTTTGAGTGCTGTGGTTTGCAAAAGAGGCATTGAGTGGCAATCTTGTTCGGTCTATAGTCTACTCTCATCACGCTTTTCTCATCCTGAGAGGAACCTCCCAACAGCGATGCAACTTCTAACCCAGGGACTGGGCTGATACTTGAAGCCTGACCACACTGGTGTCCATCTATGTGACTCGCCCTTGCAAGTCCAGCCCCAGTGACCCCCAGTGACCCTCTCTGAGAGCTGACATGGTCAGAGGCCTTGGCATCTCCCGGGCAGAGTTTTCAGTTTGCCCATCATAGGGCTGCACTTGCTGGATGCTGCAAGGTGCTGCTTCAATAGTGCAGCTGGTTTATCAACAGTATCTGTGTGTGTGTGAGTGTGTGTGTGTGTGTGTGTGTGAGTGTGTGTGTGTGAGTGTGTGTGTGAGTGTGTGTGTGTGTGTGTGTGTGTGTGTGTGAATAGCCTCTTTTCTACCTGCACAGCCATACTTGGAGCCAGAGTTGATTGAAACAGCTGCTATTTCACAAGCCTGTTTGCTTTCTTTGTTTTCCTCCCAATTATCCATAAATTCAAAGAGTCATTGAATAGGGGAGGTTCAATGATTTCTTCCCCAAATCTGAAGATATTTCCTGACTTTCAAAAAAGCTTTGGGACTCCAGTAAACATGTTTTACTTTGGGAAGGAAAGTTATTTATAGATACAGTAACTATACTATGTCACTGTCACTGTCCTCCTGTTGTTCATTGATTTGCTTGAGTGGGCCCAGTAACATTGTGAGACTTGTTACTGTGTTTGGCATATCGAATACATCACAGGGAGCTTGCCAGGCTTTGCCTTACGGGCGAGATACTCTCAGTAGCTTGCCGGGCTCTGTGAGAGGGGCGGAGGAATCGAACCAGGGTGGGCCATGTCAGCCGCATGCAAGGCGAACGCCCTACCCGCTGTGCTATTGTAATAAATTATCATAGAAGACTCAAAAAGTGCATTTAGGTGTTGCAAACAGATGATTGTCATCACGTCAGGGGCTGGAGAGAGAATAAAGCGGGTAAGGCAACCGCCTTGCGTGCACCTGACCCCGGTTGAATCCTTGGCACCACATATAGTTTTCTGAGCACAGAGTCAGGATGAACAACTGAGTATCCTTAGGCAGTGACCCAAACCGCTTCTCTCCTGCCACCCAAAATCAGTGTGGTCGTTCCAAAGGCTTTTGAGAATCTTTGACAATTTCACTCATTTATTCCACAAGTGTAGAGGGCCAGGTGTGATTCCAGGGAATATATCAGTGAATAAAAGAGGTTTGCCTTCCCTGGGAAAGACAGGCAATAAAAAAAATGAACCAACATAGAGCTCCAGATTGCAAACGCTGAATAGATAAAGAACGGACAAAACAAGTGCGTAAAAGACGGGCCACAGCTGGAGCTGGGCATGGAGGGGGCAGCTGATGGGAGCGTCCAGGAGGCAGGCATCGTGGTGGAACATCATTGGGTCTGTGAGGCCCGAGCAGAGTGGCCATAAAGAGACTGTGAACAGCCAGAGAATGGGGCGCAGAGGCAGCGTGACTTGGAAGGCTGATAAGAAGAGGGGTTCTCCTGAATGAAACGGGTGGGGCCTCCAGCTAAGCGGGGCTGCCCTGACCATGAGGTCAGCACAGACACATGCCGGAGCTGGAACACAGTGGCGGATGTTCGAAGAGGAGTCTGGTTTATTTTATTTATTTATTTATTTATTAGTGAAACACCATGAAGTACAGTTGTAGACTTACAACTTTTTGTGCTTGGGTTTCAGTTATACAACAATCAAGTACCCATCCCTCCACCAGTGCCCATTCTCCACCTCCAGTGCTCCCAGTATCCCTTCCACTCCCCTCACCCCCCACATCTCACCCCACTCCTGTGGCAGGGCATTCCCTTTTGTTCTCTCTCTCTCCTTTTGGGTGTTGTGGTTTTCAAAAGAGGCAATGGGTGGCAATCATGTTTGGTCTATAGTCTACTTTCAGCATGCTTCTCCCATCCTGGGAGGAGCCTCCCAACACCCTTTATTTGGTGCTCTCTTCTCTATCTGAGCTGCCTTTTCCCCTGGAATGTGCGGCTGGCCTCCAAGCCATGGAGTAAACCTCCTGGTACTTATCTCGGCTATTCTTGGATGTTAGTCTCCTATTTTGTTACTTTATATCCAGATGAATGCAATATTTCTATGTCTCTCCCTCTCTTTCTGGGAGTCTGGGCTTTTTGAGCAGTTTGGAGGAAGAATCAACAGAATTTGGAGACATTTTCCCCAAACATATCTCTGTACATGCTTTGGGGTCACAGCTAGTTGTGCTCAGGGCTTTCTCCCAGCTTCGTGCTCACTCTTGAAAGGGCTCAAGGGGCTCGTAGGCAGTACCGGGGATCGAGCCCGAGTCAGACAAAATGCAGGGTAAGTGCCTTCCCCTGTATCATCTCTCTGACCTGATCATGTCATTTTTCTCCTCGAAAGATTGCAGTTTCCAAAACTGAAAAGGAGTCTACTAAGTATTTTGCCAAGACAGAAAACATAAAACAAGAATTCTCTGAGACAAAATCAGATGTGAAATTCTTTTTTTTTTAACAGTATGCAATCCCGGAACATACACACAACAACCCAGGGAGAGGAAGAGCATCCCATCCCTTCCCCTGCCTCATCTTCTCATCATCACTTTGCTTCTCGGTCCTGCTCCAGACAGGCTTGGTCCCATAATCCATAGGAAATGATCCATTTTTTTGTTTCCATTTTTCCTAGGGTAGAAGGTGATTCCCTGGGCAGTTTCCAGAGTCCCATGTAGGATAACATTGGCTTGTCCTTTCTGCATTGCCGTAGGGAGCTTAGGTTTATTGGGTTACTTCCATCCCAGTGCTCCCATTCCTCTGTGTTTATTTGTAACTTCTTTCTTTGTGCTCTGTTAACTTGTAAGTGTTGTTTTTCTCTCCTCCTTAAGTCCTTTGCATAGTTAATTCAGAGCGATGTCCTTTTTGTATGGACACAGGAAGACAGTTAATGCTACGCTGTAGTAACTTGGGAGTCAATTGACTTTCAGTGATATTTACCTCCTGGACTTCTGTTCTCTCGACTTAAACCTCAGTTTCCCTTACTTCCTAGCACCCCATAGCAGGGTCCCGATGAGGAATTGGATGGACCCAGGGCGGGGGTTGAGCTATGTGCTACCCTGGCAT